TTAAGGATCAGCTGTTGCGTAATCATGAACGTAATCGAGGGATTGTGCGCGAGGATCGCGGATTAAACAGAAGCAGTTCCATCCCTGCCTGGGTGTGAGAGTGTACATCAGTGTAAAACAGTTACCTCGTGGTTATGGCAATGCGTTTTACAAATGTATGTTTAGTGTTGTGCTGTAAGTTTAGATCCCGCGAGTGGCAGACTGTAACATTGTTGATATGGATTCTGAATGAGTGACAACTGTTTTTTTATGTTGCCGTCTACACACATACAGAATTGCTTTCCAAATTTTGGTATGACAACAAAATGAGGCTTCTCTGCGTAAGGGTCGATTAAATTAAATTTCTCTTTTGATGCAGTTCCTATATCTTGCCAGTATACGCGCGCGTGAGCGCGCGTGTGTGTGTACAGCTACACAGAAAAGTGTCGTAAGGAGGGGTGTCGAAACATTCAATATCGAACAGAACGCTCTGTTATATATATATATATATATATATATATAATATATATATATATATATATATATATATATTATTGATAAAAATCATCAATTGTAGAAACTACATCACCAGGAAAAGTGCTGACAGGGAAATATATCACTGGAAAAATATCCCGAATGCCCCCCCCCCCCCAGTGCGCCTCCAGCCTAGAGCCAGGCCCTCTGAGCCGCCCGTCACTTGGGTCTCACGGGAGCAATGAGGCTCTCATTATACAAACGGGGATGAAGCAAACCAAACTAATCAGAGTGAAAGCAAACAAGCACCGCATGTGCCTGTTTGCTCGCGCGGCCTCGGGCCCGAACGCGCTCCGGCCGGCGCGCCCCTCCCGCAGAAGGGCCCCGCCGGCAGGACCCTTTTCAGCAACGCCCCTCCAGCGCCCAGGCGGAGGGTCTCGACGTACACGAGCGACAGGATGATGAAGAACTCCTGCAGGATGAGCGCCAGGAACCACACGTCGATGAGCTTGAGGTAGGACGTCCTCGGGATCGTCTGGCTGACCTGGTTGAAGAAGGTGGACAGGACGAGGAGCGAGGTCAGGGACACCGTGATGCGGTCCTGAGGGCGAGAGGGAAGCGCCTGAAGGAGCGGGAGCGGGTCGGGGGGGGGGGCTGTCTGGGGGTCTTCTGAAAGCTCTCTTGCACCGAAACATTGTCTTTTGTGAGTGATAACTGTTGCATCTATATTTTAATCATTTTTATTGTTACTCTCACTGATGCCAGTATCATTATCACTATCATTGTTTATTTATTTATTACTATTATTGCTGTTATCTTCATTATTACTATCATAGTTGTTATTATTATTACTATCATTGCTGTTATCATAATTAATATTATAGTTGTTATTATCATCATTACTATCCTTGTTATTACTATCATTATTATAACCATAAACATTATCATTAACACCAAGTGAGAGCGAGAAAAGGCACAGAGAAAGGTGTCTTTGTTTAACCCCTTTCTCATAAAAAGAGATATAAATAAATAAGTAAACAAATAAACAGCTAAACAATAAATAATAAATAAACATAAACAAATAAATCAACAAATAAACAGCTATACAAATGATATAAATAATAAAACAGCTAAACAAAATAAATAAATAAACAGCTAAACAAATAAATAAACAAATAAACAGCTAAACAAATAAAAATAAATCAAACCCACCCTCACACAACCCTCTAACCAAACAGACAACCGCCCTTCGACCCCCACCCCCCACCCCCCCCCCGAGAGACGCCGAACCTCACCTGGAAATCCTCAAGGTCAAAGGAGAGCGTCGTGTAGCAGATGAAGACGAAGAGGAGGCTGGGAAGGAAGATGTTGCCGATGTAGAAGCGGTACAGGTTCGCGAACTCGAACTCGACCTGCGTGGCGGCGTCAGAGTGAGGATAATGGTACTTGTGATACCAAATGTATGTACATACATATATGTGTGTATGTTTATATATGATAGTAATGATGATAATAATTATAATAATGATAATAATAATAATAATAATAATAATAATAATTAATAATAATAATAATAATGAATGATGATAATATTGATAATGACAAAAATAATAATAACATTAATAACAATGATGATAGCTATTATGATGTGATGATAGTAATGTAATAATAGCGATGATAAATGAAACAATAATAATAACAATTATAGAAATAACAATCATGATAAAAATGATGATGATACTCAGGAAACACAGTCTGCACAAGAAAAGATAACAAAGATAATGTCCACATCTTAATAACAAGAACATCACCTCTACCGCAACAATAAAGAACGATTAATGACAATAACAAATCTCTTCTCTCTCTCTCTCTCTCTCTCTCTCTCTTCTCTCTCTCTCTCTCTCTCTCTCTTCTCTCTCTCTCTCTCCTCTCTCTCTTCTCTCTCTTCTCTCTCTCTCTCTCTCTCTCTCTCTCTCTCTCTCTCCTCTCCTCTCTCTCTCTCTCTCTCTCTCTCTCTCTCTCTCCTCTCCCTCTCTTCTCTCTCTCT